CGAGAGACGTTACAGCGTTTGTTTAGCGCGATTGTTGAAATTGAGTGTATCGGTAAAGTTATATTCGGAAAGAATAAACCAGTTTTATAAAGAAAGGACTTGTGTCGCTTAAGTTTTGTCGGAACGAAGTTACGGAAAATCAATTAACAAACGGAGACGTAACAGTATATTGTGTCTTCTCGTTGTGTGTTTTCACGGATAGCTTATTGTGTCTTCTCATTGTGTGTCTTCACGGATAGCTTATTGTGTCATCTCGTTGTGTGTCTTCACAGATAGCTCATTGTGTGTCTTCACGGATATCTTATTGTGTCATCTCGTTGTGTGTCTTCACAGATAGTATATTGTGTCTTCTTATTGTGTGTTTTCACAGATAGCTCATTGTGTCTTCTCATTGTGTGTCTTCACAGATAGTTATTGTGTCATCTCGTTGTGTGTCTTCACAGATAGTATATTGTGTCTTCTCGTTGTGTGTCTTCACAGATAGCTTATTGTGTCTTCTCATTGTGTGTCTTCACAGATAGCTCATTGTGTCATAAGGGAAGGCAGCTAGTCACCACCACCTACCGCCAACTCTTGTGCTACTCTTTTACCAAAGAACAGTGGAATTGACCGTCACATTATAACGCACCCACGGCTGAAAGGGTGAGCACGTGTGGTAGGACGGGAATTCGAGCTCGGGACCCTCAGGTTGCGAGTCTAACGCCCTAACCACCTGCCCATGCCGGGACTACTGTATCTGAACCGAATCTACTAACTACTAGGACTAGTTTAAACCTGAAGCAGTTGAACTTTTAACAAACATTAACGTGTCAAAGATCAAATCTCAAGTAACAGATAAAAATTTGGTTACAGGGATCTGATCAAAATCTGTACTTTCCAGACTGAGACAAACTAACACCTTCAATGTCAAGGTAGATACGTTTTTTTAGCATCACTAAACTATCGTAGCCTGATATATTTGATGTAAAGTTCAATTTAAATCATTATTGATTTTTTTTCCGGTTTACACGTTATAAAGCATTTCTCCCTCGATAGGCCTAACATAATGTGACAAGGAAGCTTCCGCTGTTTTTCTTAATGAAGACCCACAATAAGCTATCTGTGAAGACACACAACGAGAAGACGCAATAAGCTATCTGTGAAGACAAACAATGAGCTATCTGTGAAGACACACAACGAGTACTTTCTTTCACTGCTAAATTAGGGACGGCCAGATAGCCCTCGTGTAGCTTTGGGCGAAATTCAAAACAAAACAAACAAAATACATATTTGGCAAAACAAGAGTGCAAAATATGTCACTAGATGGCACTAGATACAGTAAGTGTAGAAGAATCTGTTTTTCCAACTTCCACGACAGCAGTGTGATCGATAACCAAACTACCACATGTAGATTACAGACATTATAGGTGGTGGGATGGCCATGTGATTTTTTTTTTCTTGTGAAAAGACCTACAATGGCTATCTGCAGTCTGCCTACCTCGGGGAATCAAAGCCCAGATTTTAAGAGCTGTAAACCCATATATTTAACGCTGATCCACCGTGGGACGAGCCCTAAGTAACTCCAGATTTCCGAGCTTGGCGATACCACAAAATATTCCAAACTTTTTAAGCTAAGGATCCGTGTTTAAGCTAAGGATCCATCCCTTAGAATGGGAGATATACGGTAGGGTGGGCGGCTGGCTACCTTCCCTCTGGTCAGTAGTTCAAGAAATACGAAGTGTTTTACACTATCAACACTTAGACAATTTAAACAGTAATAAAGCATTGATGTGGGAATAACTTAATGAATTGTCTTCACAAGTCAGTGATGTTCTTCATTTGTTTTCCAGTTCTCTGAAACTCGTCCTGAACAGCAACGACCACAGCACTCACCTCAAAAACAACACTCGTTCACGTAAACGACAGGGAACGTCGTCAGTACTCGAGGTGTTGAACCTAGCGTCATCTAGTGAGGGTAATCGTCACTGGCAGAACATAGGAAATGTGAGCGGCTCGTCCGTCCGTCTAGACACCTTCCTGTGGGTCGGAGCAGAGAGAGTGGGACCGTGGCAGGTTGGTAGGCAGCGCTTCCGGGTGGCGACAAATTATAACCCTCCTTTTGTCCAACAGTCCACAAGGGTCAGCAATGGGAGCTGTTTAATGGGAATACCTTGTCTTCAGGTGTTGACTAATCGTAAAGATGAGCTGGTGACCATCTTCATGGACTACGCACGAGGCAAATCGGAAGGCAGTACTTACAATGTCACGTGTTGTTCTGGAATCACCATGGACCTACTGATGGACTTAGCACGAGACCTGAACTTTGATTACGACATTTACCTCGTGGCGGATGGTATGTTCGGCACAAGTCGCGGGGGTAAGTCGTGGAACGGCCTGACGGCGGATCTCGTCAGCGGAGCCACGCACCTAGTTTTCTCGACTTTCAGTATTACCAGCTCCAGATACGAGGTCATCGACTTCTCCGTCCCGTACTTTCACTCTGGAGTTTCGTGTCTCGCTGCCTCCAAGTTGCACAATGTGCCGCTCTCGGCCTTCCTGGTTCCATTCAGCATTCAACTGTGGGTCGCCATCTTCGCGAGTCTCAACGTCGCAGCCTTCACTGCTGCCATCTATGAATGGTTGAGTCCATTTGGTCTGAATCCGTGGGGAAGACAACGGACCAAAAACTTCAGCCTGGCTTCTGCACTTTGGGTCATGTGGTCCCTTCTCTTCAGCCACCTAGTGGCCTTCAAAGCCCCCAAGTCTTGGCCCAACAAGGTCCTGATCAACCTGTGGGGATGTTTCAGCGTGATCTTCCTGGCCTCCTATACAGCTAACATAGCGGCTCTGTTCGCAGGCCTGTTCTTTCAGCTGCGCGTTGACGACTTCCACGACTCCAGTGTAAGTATCCACGGTCATATACATCAATAAATCCAATATTACTAAATACATTAATTGTCCATAGGCGATTAAAATCAACACTATAATACAACAAACAACATTATATTAAGATCAAACTCAGAATTATTATTCTTATTTATAATGCTGTATTTGTTGTGTGTGTTTCTGTCTATATGTATATATATTGTAATGTTGTATTTGTTTTGTGTGTTTGTGTCTATATATATATGTATATTGTAATGCTGTATTTGTTTTGTGTGTTTGTGTCTATATGTACATATTGTAATGCTGTATTTGTTTTCTGTGTTTGTGTCTATATGTATATATATTGTAATGCTGTATTTGTTTTGTGTGTTTGTGTCTATATATATATTGTAATGCTGTATTTGTTTTGTGTGTTTGTGTCTATATATATATTGTAATGCTGTATTTGTTTTGTGTGTTTGTGTCTATGTATATATTGTAATGCTGTATTTGTTTTGTGTGTTTGTGTCTATATGTATATATATTGTAATGCTGTATTTGTTCTGTGTGTTTGTGTCTATATATATATTGTAATGCTGTATTTGTTTTGTGTGTTTGTGTCTATATATATATTGTAATGCTGTATTTGTTTTGTGTGTTTGTGTCTATATATATATATTGTAATGCTGTATTTGTTTTCTGTGTTTGTGTCTATATGTATATATTGTAATGCTGTATTTGTTATGTGTGTTTCTGTCTATATGTATATATATATTGTAATGCTGTATTTCTTTTCTGTGTTTGTGTCTATATGTATATATATTGTAATGCTGTATTTGTTTTGTGTGTTTGTGTCTATATGTATATATATTGTAATGCTGTATTTGTTTTCTGTGTTTGTGTCTATATGTATATATTGTAATGCTGTATTTGTTTTCTGTGTTTGTGTCTATATGTACATATTGTAATGCTGTATTTGTTTTGTGTTTGTGTATATATGTATATATTGTAATGTTGTATTTGTTTTGTATGTTTGTGTCTATATGTATATATTGTAAAGCTGTATTTGTTTTGTGTGTTTGTGTCTATATGTATATATTGTAATGCTGTATTTGTTTTGTGTGTTTCTGTCTATATGTATATATATATGTATATCTTGTAATGTTGTATTTGTTTACAACAAGCTTACAACGACTTTAAGTAACCTGACAGACAGACAAGCTTAAGTTATCCCAATTTTTGAGGTAGAATTTTAAGAGAGAAAAGAAATCATCAGATGAGTAAAGAAAGTAAATGAATTAATATGTTTGGCTGTCACTAGGTGTTACTGTCTTTTCAACCACAGTTGATGAAACAGCTATTTAAAAATTTGAGAACAACAACTAATTTGTGACTGTTTTTGATATTACAAGACAAACAAATTATATACTGTTTGAGAACAACAACTAATTTGTGACTGTTATTGATATTACAAGACAAACAAATTATATAATGTTTGAGAACAACAACTAATTTGTGACTGTTATTGATATTACAAGACAAACAAATTATATAATGTTTGAGAA